TTCCCCCTTCATTGTCATTTTAGCTATTTCCTCAACTAGTAGATTATCTAACTCTTCAATTTGTCCTGGGGGCCTATAAATCACACCTACACGAGTTACTGTGTGATTACCAAATTCTAACGTAACCCAAACGGACTCTATGTTTGTCTCACTAACTTTTATTAGGCTAGATTTTATTCTATCCTTCACATACAAGGCCACCCCTCCCCCTTTCTTGCCTTCCCTATCTTTTCTATATAAAGAGTACCCTGGTATTGCTATGTCCCAGTCATTTTTCTCATTATACCATGTCTCAGTAACAGCGACTAAATCTACACTTTCAGTTGCCATTATTGCCACAAGTTCATGGATCTTTTTCCCTAAACTGCGAGCATTTGTAGACATGACTCTAAGCTTATCATTTTTTAACACACTTGCTACAGGCACCTTCTGTCCTTGTTTTGGGGGACAATTGGATTGATGTTTTATCACCCTTTTGCCCCCCCTCCCAGTTTAAATACATCCTAGCAAAACCTCTGAACTGCTCACTGAGAACATTTGTTCCCTTTTGAGGAAGATGCAAACCATCTTTTTTGTACAGCTTATTTCCATTCCAAACAGAGCTACCATGAGAAATAAAGCCAAATCCTTGCTCCCGACACCATTCACCAAGCCACAAATTAAAGTCCCTCATACGCATCCGCCTGTCGTTCTGAGTGTTATGCACAGGCAGAACTTCAGAGAATGACAGTGTGGAAACAACCTGCCGTATATCATTGGCAAAAACACCAAAAACTTCCTTAACCTCTGAAACCTCATTGCAAGCCAAGTCATTTGTCCCTAGATGGGCAAGTACATCCAATTCCCCTTCCTGCTTTGCTTGCTTAACAATATTACAGATACGTCTCCTGTCTCTGTGAGCAGTAGCTCTGGGAAGACACCTCACAAGACCACCATTGTCCATCTCCACACCTCTTATGATGGAATCCCCCAACAACAACTGCTTTCTATTAGGCCTCACAATAGTCGCCAAGTCGGTCTCCACAACACCACTAGCCTCAGTGCCTCTCTCCACAACACCACTAGCCTCCGTGCCTTTTCCACAACACCACTAGCCTCCATGCCTCTCTCCACAACACCACTAGCCTCCGTGCCTCTCTCCACAACACCACTAGCCTCAGTGCCTCTCTCCACAACACCATTCCACTCTGAAAGTGCAGAAAATGAATTATGTAGAGCAACAGACTATGCAAAATGCCTTTTATCCACAACTCTAAGTCTACCAGATCCTACAGTAATCCATCTGCCATTCCTAGTATGTCTCTGCGGCAGCAGCTTTGCAGCAGTTCCAGTCTGAGTTTGTTCACCAGATAATTTACAAATCTCAGACTTCAAAAATACAATCTCCTGCCGCAAGATAGAGAACTGTCTACAGATTAGACAACAACCAAACCTCCAAAAAGTGGAATGTGAAACAAATGCATAGCAACTATTACACTGAACTAAGTCTGCCATTCCAATGATGAGAATAATTTAAATCAAACAAATCTTAACTTTTTATTTATCCTCCTGAACACCTCAGATTACCTCCAGTTTCTCTCCAGAATATCTCCAACTACACACTTAGAAGCAACACTTAGATGAAGCAACCAAACTATATTAGCCAAGCTAATGACAACAACCCTTATATAACTCCTAAAATCACCACCCACTAGGAATGTTTAACACCTGGGTAGGCCTCTGCTTATTTGCAAACAATAGCTAATTTAAACAGCAATCAATAGCAAGTAACTAATCAAATCAAATGCCTTATAATTACCAACAGGAATTCAAACCTTGTGCAATCAGTAACCTTTTCCTACAGATTAATCTTACCTGTAACACTAGAAAAGAAAGCTCTTAGCACAACTCTTAGACAGTTGAAGCTTCTGTAAAACTCTCCAGAATATCTCCAACAACACACTTAGAAGCAACACTTAGATGAAGCAACCAAGCTCTGTGGTGGTTTTGGTGCCAGGAGTGCTGTGGCTCCCTCCCAGAGTAAGTAGTCAAACCGTTTAAAAATGGTGTATGGGGGAGATGGGGGGCAGAGTGTGTTTATGTGTAGGGACTGTGTGTGTGTGTGTGTGTCTTGAAGCAAATATATATACTTTTTTAATTAAAATAATATACTTTGTATTCCCCCTCCCTTCTTACCTTTGCTCAGGGATAGGGGTAAATTTCCTGCGGTCCTGGTGGTCCCAGTGGGGAGTGAACTTTAGACTGCAGCTCCTGAGGCTAGAGTTCACTCACGCTAGATCGGAAGTATTGCCATGTCAACCATGGCAACGTTCCGTGCTCATGAGAGGATAACCTAGAGGAGCTGCAGGTTACAACTCCAGGGTCCTCTCTCCCTCCTCTGCCAGCTACCCTGTAAAGTGCTTGTGGGCTGGTGAAGGAGAACACTAATCCCCCTTCCGGTTCATGAAGGCACACAGGAAGACCGGCACTAGCGCTAGCCCTGCAGGGGAAAACAAGGCAAATCCTTGGTTTTCGGGGGGTGGACGGACAAATGTCTGTATTTAACCACTTAAGGACAGAGGCAATTGTACATGCTCTGATAAAACAAAACCTGGAATTTGCCTATATACAGTGAGGGGAAAAAAGTATTTGATTCCCTGTTGAAGATTGCCAACAGTGTTTTTTTTGCCACCAAATACCAAGTTGAAGGTCCAATACTTATTTCACTCATTGACATGCAAATCAATTTATAACTTTTTTTGGGATGCGTTTTTCTGGAATTTTTTTTTGTTATTTTGTCTCTCACTGTTAAGATACACCATCATTTCTGTCAGTGGGCAAATGTTCAAATACTTTTTTACCTTACTGTATCTGTTCAATCATTCTTTCATATAAATTGCACCCACACTTATTAGATATCATTTTGTTCAGAAGAAACAGGGCTTTCCTTTCACATCAAATATTTATATATGAAACATTTTTATTTTATGAATAAAATCTAAAACAAAATAAGAAATGTTGTAATTTCTTTGTTCTGCGTGGCATTCTAACAGTCAATGTCATAATATTGTTTATACTGCCATAAAATACACATATTTGCAGAAGTGTAACTAGAAATCACTAGGTCCTGGTGCGAAAATTGCCCTGGGGCCCCCCAGCCCATCAGTTGAGTCTTATTCTCCCCATCCCCAGCCACACCATATGTCTCATTCCCTCCCCCAGCCACTCTATGTGTCTCATTTCCCCTATGAATCTCATTCCCTCCCACCAGCCCCCTCTATGTGTCTCATTTCTCCTCCACCTGTTGTATTTCCTCCCACCCAGCCCTCCATATTCCTCATTCTCCTCTTTCAGCCCCTCCATGTGTCCCATCACCCCCACCCTCCATGTTTCTCATTCTCCCACAAGCCCCTCCATGTGTCTTATCACCCCCACAAATATTTAATTTCCCCCTCAGACCCTCCATGTGTCTCATTTCCCCCATGTGTTTCATTCCCTCTCATGTGTCTAATTCCCCTGCATGTGTCTCATGCCCTCCATGCAGCCCCTCCATGTGTCTCATATCTCACAAGCCCCTCCATGTGTCTAATTCACCCTCCAGGCCCCTCCCAGGGACGTATTAGCCGCGAGGCAAACAAGGCATTTGCCTTGGGCGGCATTTTTCAGGGGGCGGCAAAAAACACCGCCCCCCAAATGCCCAGGGCAAATGCCTAGTTAGCCTCGCGGCTAACTGACATCCCGGGCGGGAAGCGCTGGCAGGCGGGCGGGCGTCTGGTGAGGGAGCTCTTCCTCTGAGCCGTCTGCTTGGCTCCCTCGCGCGCCGCAGAGTGAGGCTGGGAGCCGGAAGATGACGTCATATTCCGGCTCCCAGTCTCACTCTGCGGCACGCAAGGGAGCTGAGCAGTCAGCTCAGAGGAAGTGCTCCCTCGCCAGCCCAGCAGCCACTGGACCACCAGGGAGAGAGACGAACCCCCCCCCCAGCACTCCCAAAGGTAAGGAGGTTCGGGGGGGGATTTAAATTTAAAAAAAAAGTTAATGTGTGTGTGTTTGTGAGTGTGTGTGTGTGTTTGTGTCTGACTGTGTTTGTGTATGTGTGTGTTTGTGTCTGACTGTGTGTGTGTGTTTGTGTCTGACTGTGTGTTTGTGTCTGACTGTGTGTGTGTGTTTGTGTCTGACTGTGTGTGTGTTTGTGTCTGACTGTGTGTGTGTGTTTGTGACTGTGTTTGTGTGTTTGTGTCTGACTGTGTGTGTTTGTGTCTGACTGTGTGTATGTATCTGACTATGTGTATATGTGTCTGACTGTGTGTATGTATGTGTTTTTGTCTGACTGTGTGTGTGTGTTTGTGTCTGACTGTGTGTGTGTGTTTGTGAGTGTGTGTGTGTTTGTGTCTGACTGTGTTTGTGTTTGTGTATGTGTGTGTGTGTTTGTGTCTGACTGTGTTTGTGTCTGTGTATGTGTCTGACTGTGTGTGTGTGTGTATGTGTCTGACTGTGTGTGTGTTTGTGTCTGACTGTGTGTGTGTGTTTATTTAGAAGGTGGGGCAGGGGGAGGGGGGCGCCTGAGTTTTGTCCTGCCTAGGGCAGCACAAAACCAGGATACACCACTGGCCCCTCCATGTGTTTTATCTCCCCCTCTAGGCCCCTCCATGTGTCTTATTCCCCCCTCTAGGCCCCTCCATGTGTCTCATCCCCCCCAACTCCTCCATGTGTTTCCTCTCCACACAAGCTCCTACATGTGTCTCATCCCCCCCAATCCCCTCCATGTGTCTCCCCCCCTTCCCTCTCCATATACCGGGTCCAGCGACTGATTGAATAGGGTAAAGCATGCTGCCACTGGGCTTTGGTGCCATGGAAATGTGTTCTGTGGAGTGAAGAATCACAGTCCTCTGTCTGACACGTTAGCTGCCTGATCGCATTGTGCCAACCAGTGGTATGGTAATGGTATGGGGCTGTTTTTCAAGGGTGGGGCCAAGCCCCTTACTTCCAGTGAAGGGATATCTTCACTTCTCTCTAGCAGGGGAGGTGGGAGAGAAACACATGGAGGGCCTGGGGGAAGGGGAGAGAGAGACAAATGGAGGGGCTGCAAAGGAGGGGGGGAAAATGGAGTGGATGCAGGGGTGGGGAAAGAGACGCACATGAAGAGGCTGCAGGGGATGGGGGGAGAGAGACAAATGGATCTCCATGTGTTTCTCTCCCATCTCCCCTCTCAATTTGTCTCATTCCCCCAGTCCCTCCATGTGTCTCATCCCTCCCACAAGCCCCTCCATGTGTATCATCCCCCAAGCCCATCCATGTGTCTCATTCTGCCCTTCAGCCCCTCCATGTGTCTCACTATCTCCCCTCCCCTACATGTGTCTCCCCCAGGACACTCCATGTGTCACATTGCACTCAAACACTCATATTTGTGTTCAGCAATGTTTCATGAGTACAACAGTACCCCCATATACAGGTTTTATGGTGTTTTGGAAAGTTACAGGGTAAATATAGGGCTTGCCCATTTCAGTTTGCCAGATTGGTTTGCAAGGCCTATGTTGCCTTTTGGAGCATATGGCAACCCAGGAATGACAATTACCCCCATCATGGCATACCATTTGCAAATGTAGACAACCCAGGGTATTCAATATGGGGTATGTCTTGTCTTTTTAGCATCCAAGTAGTCACAGACACTGGCCAAAGTACCGTTCAAATTTGTTTTTTGAGTTTTTCACAGACAAACTGCACTTTCACTGATGATATTATTACTTTTTACTGTCTTCAGAGTACAATATAGGTTTTATGGTGTCTTGAAAATTTCTGACCCTATAGTGCTAAAAACAACATCCTTATAATAAAATCCTACTTTTATTTCAGTCTGCTGCTGCTGGTTCTGCCGGTGCATGGTCTGCTTGCTTGGCTGACATCATCAGCAGTGTTGATCAAAAACAAATCACAATACTTTCCCATTTTTTACATAGGAAAGCATTGGATTAGATGAGACTGTCAAAGAGGCAGAACAGGGGCAGAGCCAGCACAGCCCTGGCCAATCAGCATCTCCTCATAGAGCTGAATTGAATCAATGCATCTATATGAGTAAAGTTCAGTGTCTCCATGCAGAGGGTGGAGACTCTGAATGTCAGTGCTTCACACTGTGTAACACTTCACCAGAAAGCACCTCTAGTAGCCTTCTGAGGAGTGGCCAGTGGAGGTATCCCTAGGCTGTAATATAAACATTGCATTTTCTCTGTAAAAACTGTTTACAGCAAAACGTCTGAAGGGATTGATTATACTCACCAGAACAAATACAATAAGTTGCAATTGTTCTGGTGACTATAGTGTCCCTTTAATTAAATTCTCTGGACTTACTGCCTGGGTCCTTCAAATAAATGAATAAAATTACTTAATTAGGTAAAAAGATTACAAAAATATACACATATTCTATTTTATTTTAATATATATGTGTATTAATTTCATATATATATATATATATATATATATATATATATAAATACAGTGTGCTCAAAAGTTTGCATACCCTTGGAGAATTGGTAATATACTTACCATTTTTTACCCCCTAACGCCCCTAACAGCTTTGAGCCCTTGAGCCTCGGGAATACTTACCTTCCCGGCTCTCCGCTTCTGGAGGACTGCATGACCGGGGGCCATGTGATCGCTCTCAAAGAGCGATCACATGGCCACAATAGCTGCCTGTGGATCTGCCTGCAAATTATTTTTATTTATAAGAGAAGTGTTCTAATGTAGAATATGAACTTAGCAGTAGTGATGTCGCGAACACGAAATTTTCGGTTCGCGAACGGCGAACGCGAACTTCCGCAAATGTTCGCGAACCGGCGAACCGTGCGAACCGCCATAGACTTCAATGGGCAGGCGAATTTTAAAACACACAGGGACTCTTTCTGGCCACAATAGGGATGGAAAAGTTGTTTCAAGGGGACTAACACCTGGACTGTGGCATGCCGGAGGGGGATCCATGGCAAAACTCCCATGGAAAATTACACAGTTGATGCAGAGTCTGGTCTTAATCCATAAAGGGCAGAAATCACCTAACATTCCTAAATCACAATGGATATGGATTGATACCTGACATATGACATATTGACACAGAGCAGAATAGGGACTGTTCCCCTACATAGGGTCACTTGGCAGGTATGGATTGACACCTGTCCTCAGAGACCATGATACACACTGACACAGAGCAGAATAGAGACTGTTCAACTACATAGGGTCACTTGGCAGATATGGATTGACAACTGTCCTCAGAGACCATGATACACACTGACACAGAGCAGAATAGAGACTGTTCCCCCTACATAGGGTCACTTGGCAGATATGGATTGACACCTGTCCTCAGAGATCCCTGATACACACTGACACAGAGCAGAATAGAGACTGTTCTCCAACATAGGGTCACTTGGCAGATATGGATTGACACCTGTCCTCAGAGCCCCTGATACACACCGACACAGAGCAGAATAGAGACTGTTCCCCCTACATAGGGTCACTTGGCAGATATGGATTGACACCTGTCCTCAGAGATCATGATACACACTGACACAGAGCAGAATAGAGACTGTTTCCCCTACATAGGGTCACTTGGCAGATATGGATTGACACCTATCCTAAGGATCCCTGATACACACTGACACAGAGCAGAATAGGGAACATTCACTAAATGCCAAACATTGTTATACAGGGGAATATTCAGTAAATATGATAAGGATCGCTAATCCTCCTCAAGAATGTTCACAACCCATGAACCAACAAGTATGAACTCTCAGACTTCAATGTGCAGGCGAATTTTAAAACCCACATGGACTCTTTCTGGCCACAAAAGTGATGGAAAAGTTGTTTGAAGGGGACTAACACCTTGACTGTGGCATGCCGGAGGGGGGTCCATGGCAAAACTCCCATGGAAAATTACACAGTTGATGCAGAGTCTGGTCTTAATCCATAAAGGGCAGAAATCACCTAACATTCCTAAATCACAATGGGTATGGATTGATACCTGACATATGACATATTGACACAGAGCAGAATAGGGACTGTTCCCCCTACATAGGGTCACTTGGCAGGTATGGATTGACAACTGTCCTCAGAGACCATGATACACACTGACACAGAGCAGAATAGAGACTGTTCAACTACATAGGGTCACTTGGCAGATATGGATTGACACCTGTCCTCAGGATCCCTGATACACACTGACACAGAGCAGAATAGGGACTGTTCCCCCTACATAGGGTCACTTGGCAGGTATGAATTGACATCTATCCTCAGGATCCCTGATACACACTGACACAGAGCAGAATAGGGAATGTTCCCCCTACATAGGGTCACTTGGCAGATATGGATTGGCACCTATCCTAAGGATCCCTGATACACACTGACACAGAGCAGAATAGGGAATGTTCCCCCTACATAGGGTCACTTGGCAGATATGGATTGACACCTATCCTAAGGATCCCTGATACACACTGACACAGAGCAGAATAGGGAATATTCACTAAATGCCAAACATTGTTATACAGGGGAATATTCAGTAAATAAGGATAAGGGGGGACGCGAACTTCCGCAAATGTTCGCGAACCGGCGAACCGTGCGAACCGCCATAGACTTCAATGGGCAGGCGAATTTTAAAACACACAGGGACTCTTTCTGGCCACAATAGTGATGGAAAAGTTGTTTCAAGGGGACTAACACCTGGACTGTGGCATGCCAGAGGGGGATCCATGGCAAAACTCCCATGGAAAATTACACAGTTGATGCAGAGTCTGGTCTTAATCCATAAAGGGCAGAAATCACCCAACATTCCTAAATCACAATGGATATGGATTGATACCTGACATATGACATATTGACACAGAGCAGAATAGGGACTGTTCCCCCTACATAGGGTCACTTGGCAGGTATGGATTGACACCTGTCCTCAGAGACCATGATACACACTGACACAGAGCAGAATAGAGACTGTTCTCCTACATAGGGTCACTTGGCAGATATGGATTGACACCTGTCCTCAGGATCCCTGATACACACTGACACAGAGCAGAATAGGAATGTTCCCCCTACATAGGGTCACTTGGCAGGTATGGATTGACACCTATCCTCAGGATCCCTGATACACACTGACACAGAGCAGAATAGGGAATGTTCCCCCTACATAGGGTCACTTGGCAGATATGGATTGGCACCTATCCTAAGGATCCCTGATACACACTGACACAGAGCAGAATAGGGAATGTTCCCCTTACATAGGGTCACTTTGCAGATATGGATTGACAAGGGAATATTCACTAAATGCCAAACATTGTTATACAGGGGAATATTCAGTAAATAAGGATAAGGGGGGACCTACTGTCCTCCCCCCGGCCCCCACCCATGCACGGTGGGTGGGGGCCATAAATCTCTATGGGGGGACCTACTGTCCTCCCGCCCGCCCCCACCCGTGAGCGGTGGGTGGGGGCCATAAAAATAATGAGGGGGGGGACCTACTGTATGATGTTGTATCGATCAGGTAGTGTAAGGGTTACGCCCGCTTCACAGTGACAGACCAAACTCCCCATTTAACGCACCGCAAACAACCGCAAACAGTCCATTTGCACAACCGCAAACTCCCCATTTGCACAAGGTTGGATACCAAGCTAGCTATGTCCCGTTCCTTGTCCTCACTGATGTCATTGAAGGTCTCTTCCTCCACCCAGCCACGTACAACACCAAGGGTCCCCAAAAGGTGACAATAAGCCCCCTGGGACGCCTGCTGTGTTTGGTCTTCCACCTCCTCAAAGCCACCTTCCTCCTCTGACTCCTCTTCTTCAGACTCCTCTCTCTGCATTGCCTCTCTCTGCATTATTATAAGGTGTGTTAAGTAGTATTATTCCTATCAGTTTAATCCCTGTTACGTCCCCTATCAGGGGACGTGTATATGGCATCGATTTTAGGAACCAGGAGATGGAAAAAGATGCTTGGTTGGTCCTCCTACTTCAAATTTGGGGCACTGCGCGTGCAATCTAATGTGCCACCAGATAGGAGTGGTGTGTTAAGTAGTACTATTCTTATCAGTTTAATCCCTGTTACGTCCCCTATCCGTTGATGTGGAGCAAGACGCAGCAGCAGAAGAGGATTCAGCTGAGGAGGTTATGGAAGAGGATGGAGTAGGAGAGGTGGCAGCAGGCCTGCCTGCAAGTCGTGGCGGTGTCACCAACTCCTCTGCAGAGCCACGCATTCCATGCTTGGCAGCCGTCAGCAGATTTACCCAATGCGCAGTGTAGGAGTGGCCTGCCTCTG